ATAATGCGTCATTGCTAGAACAGAACGTTTAAGATTGACATCAAGCGGCTTTTTACCACGTAGTAATCTTGCATCGCATCTTGAAAAATCAAGGGAAAAGGTTGAGCATCTGTATTTTGCAACCGCAATAACAGGAATATTATCATTAATATTTACATACCTTGTTCCCATCGTGTATAGTACTTCTGTATCATCTTGCGAAGTCGTACTTTCGCTCCTACTTTAAAAGATCTTATAGTCTTTTGCCGTTGGAGGTCTAGCCGTTTATATGGCGTGCAAAGGCAAGGCATGGACATGTCATCTTATTAGAAGAATTAGATAAAGACATTTTTGTTGCACGCGACATATAAGAAACAGTAGACATTATTGATTGCTTCCTGGAAAGCTCGTTAGTTCGTTGTTCTTGATTAGAAATATAACACCGTGAACGTAAGAGCAACTGTCGTTACTAACAACTGTTGAATTTTTTTCTTTTTCATCATCAATCATGACAATTATTGGCGTAGGCAACATTACATCATCACTCTGCAGTTCATGATTTCTAACTGCCATAGTTTGTATATAATGCAACCCGGTTGACGATCTCGGATCAGCAAAGCCAACAATGAAGAAGGTCCATTGACTGTTGATGAATCTTCACAGTCGTCTACTCAGCAAGATGGATTGAAGTATTCCTGCTCTAAGACTTTCAACAAAGGCGTAAAGCTGAGCCAAAGTGTCTAAGAAAGAAATAGTAACCATAATCACAAGCTTGCATACTGCTCTATATATTAACGTACCAAGTATCCACTCGGGTGTCCCTTGCTTGACGGGAAACATGTCGAAAAACTTCCATCTCTTCCCGCGAATCACTATGGGCAGTTATACTCTGTACGTCGGTTTTAATAGCGTCTTCATATAAGTTGTGTTTCCTAAGACCACTTCACTGTAATCGTTAGCTTGATCAAACTGTAAGTTGTTGTTGCCGCTCTCACTTCATTGTAATGATTCTGATCAAACTGTGCTTGATAGGATTCTTCTGGGTGGACTGGCGGTCAAGTATTCTCACTTTCTTCCGGAATTGTTGTCAGGCGATTTGCCTAATTGTATTGTTCAACGATTCTACTTTCCAAACTAGCCGTTGCAAGTTTTCCATCATCGCCAAAACCTGACAAGTGTTTCCCCCCCCCAACCCCAATGCACGGTTAATTATATTATTAATATCGAATATGTTAAGAATCAAACTAGTAAAAACATACCTGCTCGTCTTCAAGAGAGTAATTGTCCCCAATACATCGCAAATCGTTGATAACTCCAGAGAAACGTCATAAACAATTTTTTGCTTGAGCATTTCTGCTATCCGTCATCAAGTGTTCGGTGATCACTTGTGCGGGACGAGCGAATACTATCAATATCAGTGTCGAATCCAGTAACGAAAATTTTGCGGAAATGAGTGTCGATGCCTAAACTAGCGATAACCTCCTTTCAAGTTTACTGGTGGTTTGACAACGTCTACAGGATCCACATCGTCAGCAGCCGTTGCACAGATAATCTTCAAGACACAAGCAAAGAGAACAAAAATTAATAGGAATACTCAATCGGGATTTAATCAAGGCTTCCAAGCAGTAATTACTTACTCTTTGTTTCGTAGTTGTCAAAGATGGGAAAACTGTTAGACCACCACCCGTTTTTCTGTAGGCTTTTTTGCATCATGCCATTTGTAAACAATGAGGTGTTGGATGTTGGGAGCGACTTTTTCAATCTCTTATCGACTTTTCCTTATTCGGGTCTCCATATTGCGGAAAAGCTTGGCTTTTATTTGTACTTTGACAGTTTCCGTTGGAAAGTTGGCGTCATAATTACTCTCCCTCATCAGCAGCGCTTTTTTGAGACGACGCGATGGTATATTCGGAACTCTCCTTTTACCTGTTGATTTAGTAAAGATACAGTTATATCAAGGTTCTGTAGCATATAACCGAATATATCTTTTTCATTTACCTTTGTCTCTCAAAGACGTTGTCTGCTTTATACCCAAATATGTCATTACGTGTCCATCATGATCATGCTCAAGTTTGTATTTAATCGGTTGCCTTGCCTTATAAGGTGTCATTCCCAAATCGTGCAGTATCGATATGGAAACACAGTCGCTTACGGCGGCATTTAAGTAAACCACATAAAATCTGTCAGTAAAAGATTAATGGAGATTTTGTAAGCTTAGGAAAAGTAAACCATTTTTTATAAAATACTGATAAAAGAAACATACTTGTTGTCATTTTCATGGATTGCTTTCAACCACTGAATACCAATTTAAAATATGTTAGTCATTGGCAAACACGCAAAAGAGTTAACGGTCACATCATCTACCTCTTGTTTGACCATAAAATCTAGTGCTGTAACCATACGAGAATCATCACCGAATACATATTCAAACTCGTTGTTTAGTATTATCCGTCATTAATATGGTCTCTTGTGATGAAATTGTACTTATACGCTTTGTCAAGCTAAAATATCCCGTTAGTGATATATGTTGACACTGTTTATTGTCAGTCTAGTTGTCAAAGTTCTCAGGGACAATAGACGTGTCTCTTGATCGATGCAATGCGTTACCAGTTTTTTTTTTCTTCAATTTTTAAATATTGTAATAGATTGTTGAAAGTGTTATCTTGGTCAAAATGTGCAGATTTGAATATAGCTTGGCGTTGCGCTTGTTTTTCGGCAGAAGGATTTTCAGCTAGATGAATGCTAATGTATGAATAACGATCCCGCCCTCGCCTAAAGCTGTCAGGAAATGATGCGCGCCGTCGGTCATTACATGTGTCCGCAAGTTGAAGAGAAAACATGCAGCCTTAATGATTCCGTGTTTCTAATACCACAAGTAGTTGGCACGAGCATGTTGGAGTTAGATCTGACTTTGTCCAGCCGCATCTGTCTCTTAAACCTGTATCCTGACAAGCATCGGGACGTCGATTCGCCATTGTCGGGTAATTCATTTTGGGATACCTAATACTACTTATGGCATTCGGATTGCGGGTAGTCTTGTGGGAATTCTATTTCTTGTGTATCTGTTAGATGGTATTAATATGCAGCGGAATCGAACTATGACTGATGATTTTATGCGCTTTGTTGCTAACAAGGTCTGTGACCGATACGTGGCATAATATTGTAAAGCGGAAAAGGGTTCCAAGGCAAATGCTTCGATAGAACAGTTTGACCGTATTTAGGTAATCGCCTATTTATAATTTTAACCCCACCTCGAATGATCGGCAAGTTTCAAAGTAACAACTAGAATATGCAATGGTTCGTATAAAATAACAATCAATTTTTGTTATATGACTCCCGAGTCTGGAAAATGAGACATGGCGTACATGTAGAGGTCTGATTATAACTGCGTTTGCCTTTAAAACCCAGTGTTAAAGATACAGATAAAGTGTTGATTTTAGGATTTTATAAATTGTTGTTAGGATGTCGTTGGAGGATGTCGTTGGAGGATGTCGTTGGAGGATGTCGTATAAAAAACTATTCACTTTAAAAAAATATGCATGCACGATTACCACAATTATCACCCCAAAACCCCAAAATTGATCCTCTTTAAAAAAATTTTCCTCTCTCTGTCACCCGTTATTGTTGCTTTGCAATAAGACACTCTACTAGCCGTAATATCAGCTATTACAGTATTATCGCAAACTACTTTTACTTGTCCATATCGAAACCAATGTCTCATAAAAGAAGCAGCGTCTTGTCGTTCGTGCCCACGTCGCGGGCAAATAATTTCCTACACACCCATAAAACTATTCTCTATTCCGCTCACTCGGCAATACAAGTGGAGTTCAAGTGGTTTGAAACGAACATCTCATGTAGTGAGAAGTTTCTTCCCCACAACCACAAATACCCACGCCACGGCGAACTTTTGTCACCGTCCTCGGACAGGACACTACTGTCTTCCAACTCGAACTCCACGAAACACGAAAACAGTGGTCCATGGATGGAGTTTATTCCCACGAAAAGGATAAACTTTTATAATTTCGATTGTATGTATTATAAGCTTTATTTCTAAATATTTCAATTACATGTCATAAACTTTATTCTTAAATTTCTATTATTTCGAACTTTGTAGTTTAATATTGAAATCAACGCCAAGGCGCGTATGGTGGCCTTGTCAATTGATATCAAAAACGTTGTGATGTCAATTGATATCAACAGTGCTCGAGCAACATGACAATTACGAAGACATTGTGATGTCGATTGACATCAACAGTGCTCGAGCAACATGACAATTACGAAGACATTGTGATGCATCAGTGCTCGAGCAACATGATAACTACGAAAACATTGTGATGTCGATCGACATCAACAGTGCTCGCCACACATCACAATCTTGACGACTTCACATGTTTAGTAGCAGCTCTTATTCTACCCGGATTCTGGATAGATGAACGACTATTTAAAAAATACGTTCATCTAAAAGTCTTGCGGTACACAACTCAAGCTCCGAAGAAGAAACGAGATCTGGAAACTACCATTACTATTACCGTTACGAAAAATTTTACAAATGTAGTCACCTGCGCTATTCATTCCCAGTATACAAATCGTATAGCTACTTCCATATTAAATACAATGCTGAGTTCAAAGTTCCCAAACACAAAGTAGCTGATTAGTATGGCTTTGCACAAAATAAGCAACTTAACAAAAGCAGATCATGCAGGTATCAGCGGACATTCTACACCGAAGGTTGCTGACATATGAAAGACTCGCACGCAACACAACGCGACGGAACGCAAAACGGGGGCCGCGCTCGAACGTCGTGATGTCAGTCGGCGTTTCCACGGAGATAACTTCGTGCTAGTTTATATTATCTATAGAGATTTTTCGTAAACAGTCAGCAGAATTTCACATATTTGTTTTGACTTGCAATATCATATAATAAAAAAGTTACATAAAACTAATTATTTGTTTTTAATAATGACATGAATTTTCTCTTATGACAACAGTAATTGTGATGATAAATAAACTCGTACATCTAGTTAAGCTCTACCACTCTGCAGTCGTCAATGCAATGTTTGTCCAAAATTGTATGTTTTATCTTTATGGTCAGACCAGCTTTAAGAATAAATCGGTTCAATAATGTCTGGTGAAAATTTAGTAAATAACATTTATTAAAGAAACAGAGATAATTAGCGTTTATTTCGAAGGAGCGCGTATTGTTGATACAGTATTTGCATCATAGTCAAAACCTGCGGGTAGATGAACGAGAAAGTTAAACACAATATCCAAGCTTTTTAATACGTTAGTTATGGAAATAATTTTCCTCGCTATCACTCTCTGTGTCTTTGAATCAATGAGAAGGTTTGCGTTTAGTCTTTGAGACACTGACTAAAAGCTAGTGTTTGATTTAAACAATTCTTCACCCGTCATTATCGAAACAAACGAATTCCACAGCGATTCGGGCTTATTAGGGAGCTTAACGTATACAATTTTTTTTTTGCGCAAACGTCTTGTTGGAGGGAACAGTACCGATCATCAGACTCGATCTTGCCATAGCGCAAGTTGTTATCAGGTTTTGAGGCATTTTGTTTATAACTTAGTATAGCATGGAATTGAAGAGAGTGAATATTAATATTATTTTTATACTATTACGAAAAATTCCTAATTTCGATTGATCGTGACAAAAGTATCGATGTAAAAATATATCGTTACAATAGTTGGTACCTCACATACACGTGTTTTAACATGTAGTATAGAGGCGTAATAAAGAAGCGAATTTGGTGTAAACGCTCAAGTCTGTGAGAACGTTGACCAAAAAAGTTGTCTAGACTTACCCCTCTCGAATTAGCATAGCATCACGATTGACGCTCAGTCTAAATCTTTGTTTTCCTTTTCGTAATAATTTTACTTCGTACTTGTAATTCAACTTGCTTTTGATAAAGTCCATTGTGCACGTAGTTACTCTAGTCTCTCTCTTCATTAAAGAATCCCCCGCTTGGCTATTTTATTTATTAAATATTTTAGGCTCCTTAGTAAATGCCGACATACATGTTTGCTGTGCCAATCTATCAAATAGGAGTATTCGTATTTAGGTCAAGAGGAAATTCTTCAACAAAGAGACATTATAGGTTTTTTGAGGAATAATGCCGAAAAATAACAACACGCCGTGAGGTGTCAGCAGATCGTGAAGCAACGCGATTTTTTACGAGAATTATTGGAGGCCCGTAGTTATTTTCATGGCTTTAGCCTGATGCGGTTGTTGAGACTTAGACGACGTTGACAAAGCTGCAAGTAGTCAACCAATAAATTTATACTTCCATTGAGTAATTTCTACATTACTCTAAATAATTTATGTGTTGCTGTAAATTTAAGGCTTTGGACAAATATCTCCTCTCCACAGCATTGAAGATGTCTGCCGTCTCAGACTATGGCTTTTAGATCTGCATCTCGAAACTAAGGAAGCTAGAAATCTCTATAGGTTTACTGTTATTGAAAAATGCCTTCTGTCACGTGATAAACAATATAGACAACAATAAAACTTTATGTAAATTGTATGTATAATAAGGAGACTCATTTCTATCCTCCAATACAAAATTGAAAGTTTTTCCAAACCATAATCATAATGAGTGAGAACAGTACGTGAGTTAGTATTAGCGTGTTTTCTTAAATAACAATGTTTATCAGAGTTTTGAATTGTTGTGGTAAATTCAATTATTATTATGAGGCAGTGTATAGCAGATATAATCATCGTATGCATGTCCGACTCGTCGTGACAGTTTGATTATTTTGTCTTATATTTAGCATTCTCTTGTGCATAGAAAGTAAGTTGTTATGATCGCAACAAGTTGTTTTTCATATGACGTATTAATATCTTCAAGTAAAAATTATTTGCAGCACGGGTATTTTTAATCACAAGTTCTACTTTTTTATAACCATGTGTTTATTACCTATTACTATACTGCCTAATACTAATGAGTTTGTTCACCTATCCGTGACCAATTGTATTGATGCATTGCTCAAGTATTGTGAAAAAAGGTCTGCAGTGTTTAGAAAAAAAATTGACCAAGTTAAGCATTTAGCCGAAGTGATAACAATGGATACCTTTATGTTGAAAAGCAATCGACAGAATAAGTAAAGCTCTAGTAAGGTAATAGTAATAAAAAATCGGTCATGCGGGTCTCAGCATCAGCCGCGACAGTAATATACGATCCATTTGGGAACCTGGAGATTGACGCTCAAAATGCCAATTTAATATAAACTTCCAAGAGAATGTACAATATTTTATTATACAAAATCAATGAACCCGTTGATCAATTAACCCGGACTGAAGGTAATAATAAGTAAAAACCATCAACCCGATACTCCATTAAACCGAATTTTTTGAATTTTGCGGGTTCACTATGTACACAGCGGGAGTCTATATAACGGATTTCGCTTAGTGCGGATTTTTTTCTTGAAACCAGATTAAACATAATAATAATAATAACGGATTTACTATTACTATTAAATTTGCTAGTACGTGATTCTGTGGTGAAACCCGTGATTATTACCTTGATCGTCATTGATTGTATGCCGAAAGGTGATTGAAAATGTCTTCTCAACAGTCGGTCGCATCTGTATTTCCAGCGCCACCAGAATACTATAAACGATATACGAATGAAAATTTAGCCCTATTGGAAAAATATAAAGAGCAGCTACGGCAACAACAGCTATCAGTGTCAACGGAAGGAGAAAACGACACAAAGTTACCAACAAACATTCAAGCACCTGTAATACCCGCCATTAATTCACTCCGAGAATGCAGTGTGCTGGAACTCGAGCCTCCGCCGCCGATAATAGAAGGTCATTATGAGATGTTTGGTGAATTATGGCCGGTAGGTTAGTCAAGTCAGGATGTATTTCTGCAAAACAAAAGCCTCATGACGGATTATCGATTGGGGGAAATTGGGTTAGGTTGAAGATCGATTGATGTCTTTGGAAGAACAAGGAAAGGAGCAGTTATATCCGAAAGGCGATATCGGTAAGTGCAAACTAGCCCGCATGGCATTTTAGACTATGGGTGCGAGTATTAATCATCCAGTCCACATTTCTCATGTTCTTCCAATCTAGATCCAGTGGTAGAGCTAAAGAAACTGAATCAATCATTAATATCTAATTTCATTGACTTGCTTAACACACTGATGAACCAACCGGAACAGGTACTTTTATCTCGCCTTACAATCTATTGGCTTGAACTTTTCTAATCTGATTGTATACTATCTGCTTATGACCAGTCGGCCGATAAGGCAAAATATTTGGAAACCATATTCGTAAACATGAAGCATTTATTAAATGAATTTAGACCGCATCAGGTAAAAGTTTTCGATCAATATACACGATTGTCGAGCCGAAAGGCATATGTAATGATTGGTGGTGGCAATAACTTTTGTTATATAGGGCAGGGAAACGTTACGTTTGATAATGGAGGATCAGTTGCAAAAAAGAAAAGAAGCAACCGAACAGATTAAAAAGTAAGCACATTGCAGCATGCAGAGTGTTGATGTGTCTCGAGTAATAATATATACTAATGGCCTGCGATTTTGATGTCTTAGACAATGTGCCGATCTGGACCAAATACTAGAAAATGTAAAACGGTCATGGAAAGCTCTCGATGAGAAAAAGACTATTCTGGTGCGCTATTCTCAGATTCTTATCGTTTTGTAAAAGAAACGACACAACGTCTCACGCTAATTGCTTCTGTGTAGGCCACTGACACTCAACCAAGACAATTCGCTCATTCTAAACCGTTAGAAACATCGAATACAAAATACCAGATAGGACCTGACACTATGAAGAAGATGCTACAGATGACTGATAGCATCGAGTGACAATAACTATATTACAGTTAGTTGCTAATTTTGGTGTCAATGATTGTAGTACGCTATGTTGCAGCACGCTTACGTGTCAGATTAGAACATTAGAGAACCGTGTACAGTATCCGATCAGCGTGTCAATTTCCCAACTTGGTCATGATTAACGATAATCGAGATTCCATCATGTTCTTTTTGCGAACTGTATACATCATTCATTAACTTACGTCATCGTGACCAATAAATTAATTAGTCATTAGAATTAGTAATACTAATGGAAATTTTATCGTATATAAACGCTACTTTCTTCCCCCATACTGTCTCTCAATAATTATCTCAATGGCCAAGGTTGCGCTTGTCACTGGTGCGGTAAGCTGTCCTTGCATATCATCGTGTCATGAGCCGGAAAAACAAACTCGAATTAAAAAAAGAAATTCAATCGAATTCATACAAATAGAATAAAGGCATTGGTTATGCAATAGTCAAGAATCTGGCATTGAAATATGCCGAATCGCAACGCACCCCATCCCTTACCATTTATCTTTCGGCGCGTAACCAGTCTCTTGGCGAAACTTCCCTAAGTAAGCTTCAGAATGAATTAAAAATCCAGAAAATTCTGAGCGGTGATGGAGGAAATGTCGATTTAAAGTTCATGCGGATAGATCTGACCGATGAACAGACAATGGTGAACGCCAAAGAATATTTACTGCAGAATCATGGAGGTATTTAAAACGAAAACGACAAAATGCAAACATCAAGTATGTTATTCTTGCAACATCTAATGACTACAGCATTGTTCTTCCAGGTTTGGATATCCTGATTAACAACGCCGCAATGGGTAAATTTAATCTTTGAGAAATTGTTTTCTGTATATAGTATATATAATCTGGATTAGTTGCCGACTAAAAACGTTTTGTCGATGAACAGCATTTAAAGGATCCGCTTTCGATATCAACGTGGTTCGCACTACGTTGGGAACAAACTTTTATGGTACGCTCAAGCTATCCGAATACCTACTACCGATAATCAAACCGCAAGGTCGATTGATCAATATAGCGAGCAGTGCTGGACGATTGGGCATACTCAGCAACGAGCTCGCTCAGGAATTTACTAGAGACGATTTAGACATTGATGGTTTGGTTGCGCTTATGAAGAAGTTTGAGGTTTGTTAGCGCGCGCGCGTGTTGGGGGAGGAGGGAAGAGAGGAGTATGGATAGTGTGAATTGCTATATTAACCTTGTTATTGTTATTTGAAAACAGGATGCCGTGGAGAAAGGAACTTGGAAGGAAGAAGGATGGCCAACGCAAGGTATCACGTTCAAGCATTGTTTTATATTATGCGTACTTGTGACATTGTTCTTTTGTTTTTTAAACTGAGCATATAATCATATCATAACGTTTAATGTAGCATACGGTGTGAGTAAAGTAGGCGTCACCGCTCTGACAAGGATACTTGCCCGTCGTGTTTCCAGCGAAGGAAAAGACATTTTGGTTAGTTGCTGTTGTCCTGGATGGGTGAAGACTGACATGGCCGGACCTGCAGCACCTCTAACACCAGGTATGACGATTTGCGCGCAACAGTCTGTTTAATGAGTGGGACGGTAACCATGAATTAAAATGAAAAACGCACTTTCTTCAATAGATCAAGGTGCGGAAACGCCAGTTTTTCTAGCTTTGGACGAAGAAACTGTGCCAGCAGCGAAGAACGGAGAGTTTTGGAAGCGATGCAAGATTACTACGTGGTAAAAAGCCGCTTGATGTCAATCTTAAACGTTCTGTTCTAGCAATGACGCATTAT